CACCGTCCCTACTCCATTCTCTTAACACAGTCACTTGTACAAATTTACTTCAATTTGAATAGTGATCTAAAAGTAGCTATATAATTCTCATAATGTTTTATAACTTTTCTTTTTGGACCCCATTGTATCTTTCATATTTAGTAAACCTAAGAATAGCTGTGATTACACTCTGTTATAATACTTGCAGTAACTAGAGCTTTTCATACGAAAGACATGATGCACAAAATAACATTTAAGGTTACCATGTTCACCTTAAAGATCAAAATGCTCACTTACATTAACAAATCTAAATACAGCATTTTAAAATTCTTCCATGTTACATAATGTGTCCAGCAATAACAGCTTGTTACCATGAAAGTGTAATACTTCAAATACATGGAACTATGCATCTAGAACAATCTAAAATGATTATCCATAAGAGCCTCCTATGCAATATAATTACAAAGAGGAACAAATAACCAAAACTCAATTTAAAACCATGACATTCTAAAGACTAATGAAGTATGTGTATGCTCTGAAGACTAAGCTTGTGAGTAATAAAGCTTGCGTGCTGCGCTAGGGAGGCTTATACACATTAAAGCTTTGCCGTATAATTAATGTGTTTATAAACAGGGGGCCGGGTCATTTCAGAGATTTCATTATCGAGCCTGTTGTTTGCTTGGGCCTGGATCTGGGGGTGGGAGTGATAAATGAGCCGATTGGTCATTCAGCAGAACTAGAGTTATCTAGAGATATCACGCCACCTCAGACAGGAAGTGTTCCCAGCATGCACTGGTCTTGAGTAACTTCAAGCCATGTTTCACTGCCGTTTTTAACATGCATATTAACCAACAGTCAAACCCTGATCCCATTGGGGAATTTTTGCCATCCTGAGTCTGTTTTCTTTCAGGATAAATCCAATTTGATTGTCCCCTTAAAGCACCAATATTATCCCTAAAGGGCCGGTGTGGCTGCAAGTTTTTCATTCCAGTCAAGCAGGAACATATCTGATTACACTTTTTTAATCAGATCAACTGATAAGTTAGTATGTATTGTTCTACTACTCGGCTGGAAAGAAAATCTGCTGCCAGGTTTCCATGTTAAAGACAGAACTTGCCTCAATGGCCTAATGAAATCAGACAATTTCCTTTCCAAAAAAATAAAAAATAATAATTTTGTTTTTTACAACAATATACTGTGCTATACGTCCAGTAGTGAGGCATTAAGGATTCAGTATTCAGCCTATTAAACTATCCATGGAGTATTTCAGTCGATTATCATTTTAGCCAATGCTCTATAAAAATAATCCATAAAGAATTAACTACATATTTTTGTTTGTAGTTTGTAGTTTGAGTTCACAGAGCTAGAGAGGAAAACTGGAAGCCTTCAACTCTAAATACTACTGGTATAGTATAGATTTGAGGAGTGAAGTTTTAGGCAGTTATGGGCAAATTCTCTCACCTTTAAATGACTTTTTTGGGCTCCTGCCCAGAACACAGACAGGGACTGATGGGGTGCTCACAGCAGTCTGGATTTTTGCCATGTGGTAACATGTGAACAGAAAGGAATCCTATCTTCCTACCAGTCAAAGGTCATTACAGCTTTGGCAAATTCAGGAAATTGGGTCACATACTAACATGGGAATGCTAGATTTTAATTTTAGATCAATGCACAATAAATGACTATTAATGTTGAAGAAGTAAAAAAAAGGAGTAAAATCCCCCCTCTCTTAAATGGGTATTAGCACACCAATATTTTTAAAATGTTGTACAAGAGTTACACTGGCCCACAGTGTTACACTGTTTTGAGTTCATTCTCACTACAGAGTTACTAACAACAAGAGGTGTAAGCTCTATATTTCTCATATCCTGATGTTTATTAGAAAGGAAACAAATTACTACCTGACAATACCTAATTATTTCTAAAATACAATGTGAAACGATTATTCTTAGTAGTTCACTTCCAACAAATTTCACATTTCAATTCACAATTTCCAACAAAATCACTCTGACAGTAAATACTTACTAAGTTCAGACTGAAAAAACTCTAAGGTGTTCATCTATCAACTATGACCACAGAACAATAGGGGGGCTTTATTTGTCAACGTGCTTAAAAGAGAAAAAGAGGCCCATAAGTAAAGAGCATCTGACATAGTATGTCACAATTATATAGTTTCATCATACAGACCAGCAAAATCACACACAATTCTAAAAAACAATGAGAATTTTAGAAGTTTTTTTTTAAAGAGATTTTTTTTAAAGAGTCTGTCGACTCATTTCATTGATCTGCTTTTCAGACCGCTACTGACTGCTAAATGAATAACAATATTTTTTGCACATTCTACTGTTAAACTTACTGTAACATACTCCTTTTTTCAGATCAAGTTTGAGTACATATTTTACTCACCAATACCGAGTTCAATACCATACTGAGTAACCTACTTAGAATTAAGTAGTTGTTAGTCTAAACAAGCACAATGTACCTTAACAGTTAAATCATTAAAACCTAGCTGACTTTAAATGAAGTGCATTAGCTATGTTAGTTATGTGCTAGCTAATGCTACATTAGCCACCTTGGATTGAGAAGTGCTGCAGTGGAAAAGAGTGGATTTTGTTCCACATGAGAAAAGTACTTTTGTACAGCAATAAGTACGTTTCACAGTTTTGATGCTCCTCATCAGTCTCTTTCAACAACAGACTCTGCTGCACAATGACAGCAGGAATCACATCCGAGGCTAATCCGAGGAGCTCACTTGTAGAGTTTGTGTTTTTGGAGTCCTCTGCTTGGCTGGTTGAGTTGTAGCTGTATATCTTCTTAAGCCAGACATCCGCTGTGCGATTTTAGAAACATTGTCTTTGTATTTCTGTCTGTTTGAATAGACTATTGTGTATAGACAAAGCCTTCATATGCTTACACCATACAAAAGAGCTCAGTTTAATCAACATGCTATGTGAAACGCAGCCCTTACACACAGCTCATTCAAAACAACTGTGCACCGAGTACTGAGCAAACACACTAAAAAACTAAGCCTACACTGCACTGAAGATGAAAGCAGGCATGGATGTACAGGGCAGGACCATATGGTCCGTCTACCAAAAAAGTAGAAAGCACCAAATTAACATTTATACCTTGCAGTTCTTTTCAAACAGATTAAAGTTGTCACATATAGATGGTAACTGGGAATGAGTGGAATATAAGAACAATTGCCTTTCTTTGTAATATTTAAGCATCTCTATTCTTAAAATATTTTTCTCTTTTATGTTTTTATTATTCTCTACTATCTTTTATTTATGCCTTTGTAACTATCTTTGTAACGTTTCTGAGGTGTTATAAAATGTTATAAGCTGTATCATTTTTCTGCGTTTGTGTAAAGCACTCTAAATTTCCACTGATATGAGAGGTGCTGTACAAATAAACTTGCCTTGCTTTGCCTTGCCTTCTTGTCAATGAATGTCTGATGCTAGGAAGACTATGAAAGCAAAGTAAACTTCTTTTTAGCATGGCTTGTTGGCTAGTCTAACTTTTCCAACAAACTTTTATGTTGCTTGAACGAACTGTCACCTAGCATAGCCACCTTATCACAACACTACAGCAAATGCTAACAGTCTTCTAATCATTGGCTGAATTTCTACTTGTGTTAGTCACTAACACTTACTCCGACATTACCACAGTCACTTCCTTTTTTAAACGTAAGGGTTGTTTAAGTCGCCATGGCATTTCCACAGTCCTGATCAGGTAGAGTTCAGCTGTCTAGCTTTTCACTCCATCTGTTTTTTTAATATCTGATTTAATTGGCTCACACTCATCAAGTCACACATCTTTAGGTTCACTGAGCAAACAGAACAGATTTCAGTCTAGACTGTCTGCATTAGACATTCACCATGCTTTCCACACAACCATGGTCAAAAATAAATGGACAAAGAAAGATGGATTCTGCTGGACGAACAGGGCAGTCAGAAAATTGGAAAGCTGCCTGGCTTGTTCTTGTGCTTATTTGCTGTGGCTGTCAGCATGAGCAGGTCTATACTGTACGTTAGCTTGCCTGTGCAGGCAATACTGTCACTGCAGAGCCATGAATCAGTGTGAGTGCCGGTGTGTGCCAGCCTCCAGTGGCACTTTCTAGCCCTGAGACTCACACTGACAGGATAGAAGTGCTGCACTTTGCACTTTTTCCTTTTGCTAAGTGGGACATCCATACGCAGCAAATGACATGTAACTACCTATCAGCCAGTCTGAAGCAGCAACCACTGGACATAAACCAGGGATACTGTCATATATGGCAAACATTACTGTGAAAAAGCTCATTAACTACCACAACTAATATGATCACTCTATATTTCTCCAGAGAAGACACTAATAGAGATGCCTTTATGCAAAATAGTAATATATAATATAGAGACGGCACAACACCTTTTTTTCCAGTGCATTCCTTAAACCTACAGTACTATTCAACACAAACAATAATATGATATTCTTTTAACTAATAATTTTTAAAATGTACCATGCTCAAACCGTTCAGTTAACTCTCTACTGGCCAACAGAAAGACATACATAGCAAACAACATAGCAAATCTGATCTACATTTTCTGCTACACTGCTGGGTTTTGGACCAGTGCTATCTTTACAATGTACCATCAAATTATCTTATAATGGCAAAACTATACTGTATATTGCTGATATCATAAGCTGCCTTCACACATTAACTTGGTCTGGTTTTCTCAGTCTAAATGTCTAGTACAGTGAAAAAAAACACATAAGTTTAGTCAATTACACAATCTAAATCATAAATTACATTATAAATAAATTACCTGCTCCAGAAGCCAAATGACAATCTGGAGCTGATAATTAAGGTAAGTAAGGTAAAGATCCATGTCTGAGCTTAATTAAACTATTCTAAAGCCTTAAAGCAGAAACCAACCTTGGCAACAGATAATCTATGTAAACTGTGCAGGCAAGACTGATACATCTAAAAAAAGGCATGCTGACTCCTCTATAGTAGCACTTCTGAGTCTCATGCTTACCTTCATGATGTTTTTTCAGGGCAGCCTGCTCCAGTGTAAATTCACTCACTCTTTCTCTGTCTGCTGCCTTTTACGTGCTGATAGGTTTCCAAGTGAAAAGCAGAGCGCACAGTTTTGCAGCAGGGAGCACTACACCCTGGCATGATGTTATCAGTCTCTCTCTTTTTCTGTCTCCCCACTCTCTCCACCTCTGAAAGAACAGAGTGAGTGAGACACAAAGACTGAGACTACACTTCCTTATTCATAAGACACACCCACTAGTCCATGCTGCCCAATGTTGAGATTCTCTGAATTTAGCCCCTCCCTCAGGGAATCACTACTACACACATGCACACACAAACATCCACCCCAAGCCTAAGATACTAGTATGTCACCATACAAGTCTGTCTCTGTCTCTCTCTCTCTCTCTCTCGTTCTCTCTCACTCTCTCTCTCACTCTCTCTCACTCTCTCTCTCACTCTCTCTCACACACACACACACATACCTCTAGCTCCACTGGTACATCACAGTACAAGAAAAAGCTCTCTCTATCTCGCTCTCTCTTTCTCTCACACACACCTTATGCCATGGACTTTACGAATCAAAGAACAAGTAGCAAGGTAATACAACAGTATATTAGTAAAGTATAACGACAAATAAGCAGAATGTGTCTAACAAATTGGTCAAAGATTTTGGGTATTGGTCACACACTTTATGTAAAGTGGCAGTAACATTCAGAGTTAGACTTCACATTTGAATATTTGCTTAAGGATTAACTGTAATATGTTGGTGGTTTCCCAGAGTGCCGAATATAGTCCGAGGAAAATTCTCAGCATGTTCTGTTCCGCTTAAGTGTTGCAACAGTTCAATGGGTTGTCACATTATGATAATATAATGCTTCATGCATCAATATCAGAATTCTAGAGTGCCTCTATAATAACTAATAACAGTGGAGTTTATTAGCAGGCATTTAACTGGATATAAAAAGCATACAAAATATATACTAAAACTAGGATATTCTCAATTTTTAAAAAGAAAATGTCATGCATTTTTCAATATCACCAAGGCCACTAAACACTGTGAACAATATTCAATGTGTGACACAAAGAACAAGATCAACTTAAAATGTAGTTAGATTAGATGGGGAAACACGCCTTGAATGCTGTGCAGAATTAGAAGCTACGTTCAAATTAATCTAATCGAACACTACTTGTTAATGACCAATACAAAAGAAAATCATAATGTAGACAATAGAAATAAAAAACGTAGATGCACTGAAATCATCAAGATACATCAAGGATCATTTTATAATCACATCTTGGCACCCTGAATCAGAACTGAAATTCAATCTAAATTATATCACAAGGTGCCTAGAGATTTCCATCCCTACTGTCTAATTTAACATATCACAAGTAAACATACTGTGTATCCGTACGATGAGAAAGAAAGCACACAGATGTCTAATCTCTACCCTACTAATCAAGGCAGAAGGGTGTGTCTGAAATAAGTTGTCACATTTTTTTTTTTACTAGGTGAGGTTCATACACTCAACTGTAATGCTGCAGCATGTATGTGTGTGTTTGCGCAGTCAGGAGAGACGGGTAGCATCTGTTTGCCTGACTGGCCAGTGGAGCCACTGAATTTCAATGCAGAGCTTTCCACACTTACCAACAAATGAGGCAGACACGTGACAACACGAACAGAGACAGAGAGAGAGAGAGACAGTGAGAGAGAAAAAGAGAGAGACAGAGCAAGTCAGAAGAGACAGAGAAAAAAAAATCAGACCGAGGGAACAAGAGCGAGCGAACACAAGTGGGAGAAAGAAAGAGAGAGCTGAGAGGGACAGAGAACTAGGGTGAAAGACATATAGAGAGGGAAGCAGGGATAAACAGAGAGAGAGAGACAGAGCAAAAAAGAGAGGGGGAAGGGGAGGGAGAGGGAAACTAAGGGAGAGACACTGAGAGAGAGAGAGGAAGGGAGGGAGACCGAGAATAAAAAGGGAAGGCAAACAGTCAGTGGCAGTGAGAAGAAAAAGTATCAGACTGGAAGAGGGACAGAGAGACAAAAAGAGACAACAAGAAAAAGAGATGAGAATAAGAGAAAACGAGAGAGAGCGAGTGAGAGGAAAAAAATTGAGAAAGAAAATGAGAGTGAGCAAGTGCAAGAGAGAGAGAGAGCTTAAAAAGCTGCCTGTAGTCATGCTCTTTGTTTGGCTCTCTTTAATAATGCACTGTATGTAAGGCGTGTCTTCTTCGGCCTTGACTGAGGAGAACCATTCCAGTTCTTTTAATATTTTATGGATATATATTTTTTTTCGGACTCACTCATCACACCCTCTTCCAGGTTCATTCCACAGTATGTCAAATTCAGACCAGTCCAGTCTTCATAATCATGCCAATTCCATTATCCTTTGCTCAGGACTGTGGATAAAGTGTCCTCCGCTATGCTCACGGGTGCAGGCCATGAGCAACAGAAGCTGAGCTATGGTGTCAATAAACGCAAAGCACAAAGATGATGTGCCTACATAACACTCATCACTTTTACACTGTCCAGTGCATCATCATCATCAGACAGCCCAGCAGGAAAAGATCTTTTTTGTGCAGTAGCCCAGCAGCACCTCAACGTACTTGCTCTTCCGGTGTACAATAAACATGCCATCAAATATCAGTTTAAAATATCAGTCAAATCTAAACATCTGTCTGACACCAATTTTTTAAGCAATTATCTGCTGATACCAATGTGATTCCTACGTCATAAAACTTGGACTTCGACAAAATTGGTGTTTTTTAGGTGTCCACCCAAAAACATAAAATGAGCTGAAGGCTGAAATGAGCCACCCACCCCACGACGCATCAGTTTTAAATGCAACTGGGCGAACTAACATTTCCATACATTAAACTGTAATTGTTAATACTTGGCCACAAATCCTATGCGGTCAATGACTGCTTGAAATCTGGAACCCACAGACATCTCCAGACGCTGGGTTTCCATCCTTGTGAGCATACCGCAAAACCAAGACTTTTTTAAGGCAAAGAAATGGAATGTTTGGCAATGGTCAAGTCAACTCCAATATACTGTGGCAGATAGCTAAAATAACAATTAGCTGGTGAACATCCAAATATTTACGGACCTTAACTGGGTGGAAGTACAAGGTTGGGGTTTCTAATAACATGAATGGGGAGTGTTATTTACACAAAAATATCCTTTAGTTTATGTGTATGAACTGTACCTTTGTGCTCTTTTTCCTAATGAAAGGGGTTGCAAATTCATATCCTTGGTCCCATTAGAGGACTGCTGCGTCCTTATACAAAAATGAAAAAATTTACAATGACTTGTATTAATAATTGTTGCCTCTTTATATACAATATTTTAAACAATGTAAAGTTTTATCCTGGTGATTATTATTTAATAGTTCTTGTCTCGACATATCTTAAATGGAAATTGCTTTTATTACAGCTTACTAGTTTTCAAGTAATCTATTGAGAATCATTATGTAACAAATGATTTTATAGATGTAAATTATAGATCTTTCACCAAAATGGTTTTAATTTTAAAAAATAGTGAACAAATGTTTGGACAATAGCATACCTGTAAGCTCTGTTTCTCCATAGAGAGACACCCATTTGCTTTCTTTACTCTATGGTGATGACAGTATCTAAGAACCGTTCTTTGGCAGCCTTTTTGGAAGGACTTGTCCCTGAACAGAATTAACTGTTTTTATGTGGGGAATAGGGAGACACATGGCTGACCCTGCAGCTGCTGGGGGCTGAAGAAAACAAACACAACAGGGTGTTTGGGCCAGCCGCCAAAACATTTAGAGCAGAGATTAGCAGATATGAGAGGCGGCATGAAGACAATACAGCTGAGATGAGAGAAGCAGGGTGAGCGAGAGAGCCACAGAGCACTAGCTTGAGTAAAACGGGTGCTACATCAAACAGATGCATCTTAGCAATTGACTGTGAGCTGAATACTGAACTACTGCAACTTCCAGGTTTTCTCAGCAAAACAAATGCTTTTACTACTCACAAACGAAATGGAAGCACCTTGGAGCAACAACAGCTCAGTTTCGAAGTGGCAGACACTGAGTGGGGCTACTAAGTGCTGAAGTGTGTAGCGTTTAAAAATCACCTGTCCTCCATTTCATTGGTCACAGCAGAATTCCAAACTGCCCCTGGGAGTGAAATCACAAGAACGTTACATAAGGAGTCTCATCAACTAGATTGCCATGGACAAGCAGCTGCACACAGGCCTAAGATCACTATGGGCAATGCCTCATGTAGGCTGAAGTGATGGAAAGCACGCCACCACTGGACTCTGGCGCAGTGGGAACGTGTTCTCTGGAGTGATGGATCACGCTTCACTTCCTGTCAGTCTAATGGATGAATCTGGGTTTGGAGGAGGCTAAGAGAACACAACTTCTTGGAATGCATATCTGGATTAGGGGGGTAATGGTTTGGGCTGATTTCAGGGTTTGGGCTTGACCCCTTAGTTTCAGTATAGGGTAACGTTAATGCTATTAAACACCTCCAATTTGTAGCAGCAATTTGAGGAAGGCCCTTTCCTGTTCCTGCATGACTGTGCCCCTGTGCACAAAGTGAGGTCCATAAAGACATGGATTTATGAATTTGGTGTGGAGGAACTCCAGTGGCCTGCACAGAGCCCTGACCTCAACCCCACTGAACACCTTAGAGATGTAGTGTAATGTCACTTGCGAGCCAGGCCTTCTCGCCCAACATCAGTGCCTGACCTTACAAATGCTCCTTTGATTGAATGGCCACAAATGCTACAAAGACTGTTACGGCAGGGGGCCAAATTCCATACTAATGTCCATGGTTTTGGAATGGGATGTTCAACAACGTAATTTAGGTGTAATTGTCAGGCATCTACATACTTTTAGTTATACAGCGCAGCATTTTGCATCAAAGATAACTGATTTTAACAAAGGATTTGTGCTGAACCAATTTTCTAGGTAGAGCAGACTAAAATTACTCAAAGATAAAATGTTGTTACTTCAATAAAATAACGACTCAAGTTGAAGTAAAAGTAGTTGATAGTAACTTCTGATGGTACTGTAATGGAACATCTTAGCAAATCCAGCATCCATCAGCACAGAAAATAGGGCTACACGATAATACTCACATATTTTTTTATGTTAATTACATATAACATAATTAGATTAGCTAACAACAGGAGCTCACAAATACCTCACA